GGCGATGGGCACAGTGGGGGCAGGTGGGAGCGGGGAGCACGACAAATGGTTTTACGTAGTTATGTATCATTGCCGCAGAGACGTTTTGGGAGCACAAAGGCACGGAAGAAGGTGATACATAATTATTTATCAGTGTGTATTGGTATTTTTTATTTATTTATACGTACGAAGATGATAAGGATGCAGCGCACAAGCCGTTTGATGAAACATGTGTAAGTAATTTTCTAAGTAAATGTGATTAATATAATGAAGTTACAAATAAAAATAAAGGGAGTTGATATTATTAATATTATGTTACAGGTATGTGGATAAGATTATACATTAAGAGCGCTACTCAGTGTGTTGGTATGTGTGCGTGTCTAAAGTGTATATCAAAACAAGCGAAGATGTAAGTAAGATTTTAAAGATATGTGTCGTATATTGAGTGTTTATTATATTAATGCATAAGTGTGATTTTCTTTGTGTTGCATGAAAGTTAGTGATATTGTATCGACGAGTTTGGGAGCAGTTGTTTGGTATTCACAGCCGGAATGAAGCCGCCTACGCGATAGGCAGTATATACACGCGAGAGGTCGAAGGGGTTGCCTATCTTGTACTCGTCAGGGGCCGGCCCGCTCAGCAAGATGAGAAGCGAATGGACACAGATGAGCTTGTAACACGCACACGCTCGCACGCACACACACACACACACACACACACACACACAGAGGCGCGCACACGCGCACACACTCAACGGTATGTATCACCCGAGCTTACATCCCTCTCTCTCTCTCTTCCAGGCGTCGGGGGTGAGGCCACGCTTTGGGAGTTGGCAAGTGAAGGATCACGACCGCATCCTTGGCACCAGTACACCACCAGTGTAACGGATAGCGTTGCAGACTTCGAATCATCGATCGGGGGTTCAATACCCGGTAGGTACAAACTTCTTTTTCGACACTTTTTTTTATTTTATTTGTTGCATTGTTACTCACTCTCTCTCTCTCTCTCTCTCTCTCTCTCTCTCTCTCTCTCTCTCTCTCACACACACACACACACACACACACACACACACGACCTCCCTCTCTCTCTCTCTCTCTTTGTCAGTCTTTCTCTCTCCCTCTCTTGCCCCTTCCCCCTTTCTCTTGCCCCTCTTCCCTCTCTCCTCCTCCTCCTCATATCTCTCTCTCTCTCTCCCTCTCTCTCTCTCACCCTCTCTCCCTCTCTCTCTCCCTCTCTCTCCCTCTCTCTCCCTCTCTCTCTCTCTCTTCCACTCAATTTCTTTGGAGCCGCTTTAACCCCTCCCCCTCCCGCTTTCTCTATGATGGGTAGCCACCCGTCCACCCATCTACACCTTTCTTTTTCGACTTAAATATATTTTCTAACTTACTGTGGCACCACATTCTTAAGAGTCATCTTGTTTCAGATATTTTCACGGGGCGTATATAGCCATCACGTTTGAGGCCCATCCCACCAGTTTGTTCGTCAGCATGGACAGGTTACGCTACGAGTCGGAGCGGTTTCGCACTTACTTTGGCTTTCCTATAGCTGGAATGGATGTAAGAATGTTAACTCGTGCCGGATTTTGGTTCACCAACAACAATGACAAGATACGGTGTGCTTTTTGCAACTTGGAGATTGGAGCATTAGGAGTTGGAGATAATTTAATGGAACTTCACAGTGAGTGGTCAAGTGATTGCCTTTTTATCCGAGGGGAATCAGATAACGTTCCAATGGAACAAGAGCACGATATGGTGTGTTTGTTGCCATCCAACAATTGTGGTCCATGCTTGACTAACTTAGGTGTTAGTGTAAGTGATAATGTGAGGAAGAGCGACAACGTTACTAGTACCCACTTGAATGTTGTGAGAAGGGTAGAACCAATGCACTCACGATTTGAGAATCCAAAGTCAAGATTGAAAAGCTACAGCACATGGCCACTGGAACATTGGTTAGCACCACGGGTTTTGAGTGAAGCAGGATTTTTTTATTCGGGTAAGTAGAAGATAAATAATAAAATAAATTAGTGACAGTAAGTTTACACCTATAATTATGTTTCATATTGTATTAATGTTGCAGGTACATTAGACAAAGCTATATGCTTTTCGTGCGGAGGTGGACTGAAAGATTGGCAGCAACATGACGACCCGTGGGAGGAACATGCTTTTTATTTCTCCAAGTGCCGGTTTCTTATAGAGAGAAAAGGACGCGATTTCGTGAAACGTGTTCAAGGAGAAAGACCACGTGCACTCAAAAGTGAAGTAAGTATAGTAGTTAATTAGTTTTTGTTTAATTAACAAATAGATGAGTAAATAAATATTACATTCTTACAGGAAATTGGTGCATTGGCCTCACATCCTCCGAAATGTACTACTGCTACTCCTGAACAATTTTTGTGCCACTTGTGTCAGGAGAATGAAAGAAAAATTCTATTCATGCCTTGTGGACATTTAGTAGCGTGTATTGTGTGCGGTATGAAAGTCAAATCTTGCCCTATATGTCGAGTGGACATTCTTGCTACAACGCGTGCAATTTTGGTGTAATTCTTCACAACTTTCTACAATAAAAGTAAATCACAACAGCACAAAAAAAAATATGCGTTTTATTTATCACTCAGCCTTTTATTATGTCTTTTATGAATTATACTCCCACCCACACACACACACACACACACACACATATACATGCGCCAACATTTACAGTACGCACATTCATAATTTTGTGTATGTAACATTCGGATTTCTTCCAATTTCAGTTACAATGGGGGTGATCGAACATAGAGGCGACGTACTCCAAGCTTATCCGGGGGTCCCGATTTTCCATTGTGTCTCAAAATCGCTCAAAATGGGGGCTGGCTTTGCAGTGGTAATGCGCCAGCGCCAAGATATGAGGGCACTCCACAGCCAACGCCGTGGTGTGGGCGATGTGGCAATAGGACATCATGGCAGCTCACTGATTTTTAATCTTATTACTAAATTTATGCATTATCACAAACCAAAATTGGTAGACATTCGAAAATCACTCTTAAAACTCAGACAGTTGTGTATAACTATGGGCATTGATCAAATAAAAGCCCCAAAAATATGCTGTGGATTGGACGGCCAATCGTGGCCAGTAATCCGTGAAATGCTAGACAGTATTTTCGGAAAAACAAATATTGATGTTCACATTTTCCTCTTATAATCAAATCAATAAAAAATGGTTGAAATCCGAGTGTTAAAATTGACTTACTTTCATTATTTTTGTCCTTATCTCACACTATTTTTTTTATTTCCAGGTTGATCAACTTTATCTATTCTTGATATAACACACACACACACACACACACACACACACACACACAAAATGAGTGGAAACGGTTCGGGGTCAAATGATCTCACATACAGTCAATCTTTTTTGGCTTTTGCGTGTGACCTCGCTTCAGGTCAATTACAACAAGAGTTAGATCAGAAATCTGAACAAGAGCGAGTCGAACGAGAGGAACGAGAGGAACGAGAATTAAACTTAGAGCTTTGCAGATTAGCCGATGAGGAAGAAGCTCGCCTCCTGCTTCATATTCCCGTTCAAGTCGTAGAACAAGTTGGAGGGGAAGGGGAGGTTGTAGCTGGCGCAGCCGGAGGAGTCCACGGAGCAGAGGTAATAGTAGATGGTCAAATAGTTGTCGAGGAGAGAATGGAAGTCGAGGAGGAGGACAATGGCCCTCTAGCTTGTAGATTTGCTCCCGCAGAGCAGGCTGATGATGCAGAAGAAGCTCGCCTCCAGCTTCATATTCCCGTTCAAGTCGTAGAACAAGGAGAAGGAATAAATGAGGTCATACCAGCAGCAGCCGGTGGAGTCCACGAAGCAGAGATAAGAGTAGATGATCAATTAATTGTCGAGGAGAGAATGGAAGTCGAGGAGAATGCCCCTCTAGAGGGTAGACCTGCTCCCGCAGAGCAGGTTGATGGAGCAGGGGGTCAAGGAAATGGCGTCGAGGTAAGATTGGAAGTCGATGACGCGTGTGTAGAGCAAATAGTTATTGGTGATGAGATTTATCAATGTCGTAACAATGTAGGTGTTCAGAGAGATTGGTGTGCAGGTAGAAATCATCTTCAGCCTGGGTGTAATTGTGGAAGTGAGGGTGTGTGCTCTGGTAACCACAGAGAAGACTTATGCTTGTGTTCCCTTATGGAGGGGTCTGTTGATGGCTCCTTGTCATCCTCTGATGACATGGACTTCTCAGACTCAGACGGTCAGAGTCAGGGTGAGTTGATTGATTTAGTAAGTCCTAACATTATAGACTTGGTAAGTACCGAAGATTCCTCCTCTTCTTCTTCTTCTTCTTCGTCTTCTTCTTCTTCTTCCTCTTCATCTTCTCCGTCTTCTCCTTCTTCTTCTTCTTCCTCTTCAGCCGTCTCAGAACCAGGATCACAACATGATGAAAATATAAGTAATGATGATGATGATGATGATGATGATGATGATGATGATGATGATGATGATGATGATGATGTTAATGATGATAATGATGATAATGATGGTGAAGATAATGATGATGATTTTGACGATGGGTCAAGTAATGCCCATCGGCCTGACACTGATGAAGAAAGTAGTGAGCATGGTTCTGATGTGTCAGATGAAGAAGAAGAAGTGAGAGAAGAAGAAGTAAGTGAGTATGGGGGTGAGGGTCAAGAAGAACAACAAGAACAAGAAGACGTGGTGCAAGAGGGGTGCGGTGAAGTTGAAGAACCTGCCCCTCTTGTGAACATGGTAAGTGAAAGAAATCGCGCTATTGCTAAATTCCAATTAAATTTCCGCGAAATGATATTTGAAATCAGTCAGCCCCGTAATAGGGTTAATTTTCCTGTGTGGATTCACAATGTGGTGCAAGCTATATTAGAACGGTCGTGGGTTGGAGCTGATGAAAATGATTATGTTGGACTAGAAATAAATTTACCCGGCAATCGGTATGGTGCTCCCTTCTACATACCCATTTGTAAAAAACGTCAATTACACCCTGATGCTATTATGGATTTGATTGGACAAATGTCTCAATCCAACGAAGAATCTTTCTTGGAGGGGCGAGTCGAAGTAACTTTTTTACATTGTGCTAATCCTGCCGGTGGTGCTGTTAATCCTGGATTAAAAACTGCTGATGATAGGATCTTTTTAAAATCTAAACGTAGTGTTATTTCATTTTTTGATTTAAATTTGCCGGATGATGACAAAAATTGTTTACCTAGAGCCATAGTTGTAGGTTTGGCCTATCGGTCGTCACAACTTGCGGGGAAAAAAATGTTAAAATCTTTGCGAGACCAAGCTAAAGAAATAAAAGATTTGTGTGAACTGGCGAGAGTCCCTCTTAATACCTTAGGGGGTGTAGATGGGTTACGTAGATTTCAGAGGACGCTCCCAGGCCTCAACATTGTAGTTTTCATAGATAGACTTGGCCAAGAAATTTTTTTTGAAGGAAATCCTAATATCACTAATGAAAAATACCATCTTAATTTGTATTACTCTTTTCAATTAAAACATTTTTGTGTCATCACTTCGATGACAGGCTTCACAGAGAGCCGGAACTACTGTACAAAATGTAGAAGAGGGTATCAAACTAAAGGTCACCACATTTGTGCTGAGTCGTGCCCCAAGTGTTTGAACCAAGGTGGCGTGTGTGATCGCGAACCTGGTATTAAATTAGATTGTGATAAATGCAATTTCACCTTCTATAATACTCAATGTTATGAGAAACACTTGACGTTTCCATTTTATAGAAAAGAAAGAACAGTCTGTGATGTTCGTAAGTTTTGCACAATTTGTTGTACGTTTATTAACAATAGAGATAATTTAAATAAGAAAGGGGAACCACGGAAGCATAAATGTGGACATACCTTTTGCCGTAATTGTAAGTTTGAAGTAGAGACAGTCAATCACACATGTAGCATGCAGACAAAGGAAACAATAGCTCAAAAGGAAAAAAGATTTAAAGAAGCAAAAGCTGCAAAAAAAGGGGTAAGTGTTGAAGAATTACGTGATGATGATGATGATGATGATGATGATGATGATGATGATGATGATGATGATGATGATGATGATGATGATGATGATGATGACGACGATGATGATGATGATGATGATGATGAGAGAGATTTGGTGAATGAATGGGGAGGCCAAATTGGTGAAGAACATGTTAACAATGACGGTGATGATAGTGATGGTGAAGAAGAGGATTTAATTACTGAAGATAAGGTAAGAAATCAAAATGATACTGAAAATGAAGTAAATGAGAAGAAGGCTGGGAAGAAGAAGAAGAAGAAGAAGAAGAAGAAACCATTTGTGTATGTTGTGTTTGACTTAGAGACTCGACAAGAGACGCTCAATCCTGATGGTTCATGGCTTCATGAAGCAAATTTGTGTGTGTCACAAACAGCTTGCTTGAAGTGTATGGATAATCATGACATGACAAGTAAGTGCGGTGATTGTGGTAAACGACAGAGGATATTCAAAGGTAAGGAGTGTGTTACAAAATTTATGTCTTATCTGTTCAACAATAAGAAACTTATGAAATTTAAACAAGTTGTAGTAATTGCCCATAATTTTTCGGGATTTGACGGAATTTTTTTGATGGCTGACTTGACAAAGAGACCCCAGGGCCGCAAGGGCACCCCAAGCTTTATTCAGAGGGGTACTAAAATGATAAACATTCGTCTGTCTCGCTATCACTTTGTTGACAGTTTGAACTTCTTACCAATGTCATTGTCAAAACTTCCTAAAGCTTTGGGGTTGGGGGAAGGGGTTGCCAAGGGATTCTTCCCCCACCACTTTAACACATTGGCTAATTCTAATTACAGGGGTCCTATACCGGAGCCTGCCATGTACGGTGCAGATAAAATGAGTGTTGGAGATAGGGCTAAATTTGACTCATGGTACGAATCACAAAAAGATATCGAGTTTGACTTTGAAAAGGAATTGATACGGTATTGTTGCAGTGATGTAGATGTTCTACGTCGGGCTGTCATTAAATTCAGGGAACTCTTCATGACCACTGCATCTATTGACCCATTCCGAGAGTGCTCAACTTTAGCAGGAGCATGTATGCTGAATTTCCAAGCCAACTTTTTGAGTAAGGGTTCTATCAAATTGATACCAAAAGGAGGGTTCTTTGGGAATGACATACACTCAAAAGCCTCTTTGGAATGGCTCAATTATGAAGCATGGTCGAGGGACATTCAAATTAACCATGCTGGCAATGGAAAAGAGACCACCGTGGGAAAGTATAAACTGGATGGGTCGTCGTGTGACGGAGGACAAAAACTAGCATTTGAATTCCACGGGTGTTTCTTTCACGGGCATCCGTGTTGTTTCCCAAATCAAAGTGCTCCCATCAACACAAACACAAACGATACAATGGGTGAAAGGTACAGGCGAACTCTACTAAAATCGGAAAATTTACGGAAGGCTGGTTATACTGTGATCGAGAAGTGGGAGTGTGAATGGAACAAGGAGAGAGCAGAAAATGAAGAAATAGTTAAGTACTTGAGGGACAACCCAGTGGAATGTGAAGAGCCACTGGACCCCCGTAATTGTTTTTATGGTGGGAGGT